TATATATTTGTATACTACTCTTATTGTTCCACCATGTTCAAAATGAACTTGTGTCTGTCTCCGCTCATGCTGTACCCGGGTGCATGAATGTGCATTTGCAGTTTTTTCCCCACTGTTTGTATTTAGTGTTTGATTAATTGTTTCTTTTTTGCATATGACTTAGTCACTTTCATTCAGATCGATTTTTTTTTTTTTGCATTTATTTTATTCACAAATATAGTTTTTCTTTTTGGTTTGATTATTAATTTGCCCAATATTTGAATCATTGTATATTTTGGTTTTGTTGACCAATTAAACTCTACTCCTCTTTTTTTCCTTAGGGACAGAGAAAAGTGTCTGAAGCCTGTGGTTTTTAAACAGATTATCTGTTTTTGTGGAATCAATAATAACATTAATGAAATCAGTCTGTAGTCCCTGTGCTTTTGTGAACCTGTAATTTTAATTCGTTGGATAATAACATTACCCCAAACGGTGTTGCTAAGTTTTAACACATTTCTAACCCCCCGTTTTTTAAAACAAATTTTTAAAACACTTTGTCATGGTGAGAAAATATACAAGTAGTACATAAATACTAGTACTGGGCAACACTTTTTTAATCACAGTCGAGGAAGAATAAACTGTATTGTTAAGCAAAGTCAACCTCCTTATTAAAGGCTCAACATCAACATCATGTAACTTCATGAGAGCTTGTTAACATATCCCTTTCTGTTTTGCTTAAAATAAATATCTGTCAAGGACAAAAATGTTTTACATACCATTGTTTATGGTTTGCTTAAATATTATTGTATCCCTACAGGAAGGCTTGTGTTCTCTATGGGAGAGAAGAGCTGTCCAGAACACAAATCGTCGATCCGTATAATCGTGTTTAGGCAAGATTATTTTTTCCTCATGCTCTCTGGTCAGCATCTCTTTTTCCTCTTGAAAGAGAAATGTTATGCAAATACTTGCATCCAGTTCCCTGTTGCTAAAGGTAACAAAATAAAAGGATTTTTATTACATATCTCTCTATCATGTCAGCAGGGTCGAATTTAGGAAATTTGGGGCCCTAGGCAAAGACAGGCAGAAGGCCCCCTGACTTGAGAAAACAGCACATAAAGCAGACCCATTATACAGATAGAGAATTTTTAATAGAATAGACATACATAATTTTTTCTACATGTTGTCCCTCTCTTCTTGTCCCTTTTCTTGTTTTCCTCTCTATGTTTTGTACTCAGCTGACTTTTCATGCTGTCTCTAAAGGAATGAAAGATTTTTTCCAAGCACTAAGCTCACTTAGCTGATCGCTCCTTTTTGGAAAGCACTATATGACCATGCAGCTGAAACTACTTAATTTACGGAAAATATCTTTCATT